TGCCTGCCCTCCCTGCTGGGCACCGCCCTGGGCACCCTCGCCCAGCCCCTGGCGCTCTTCTATGAGAAAAACAGGTCAGCATTGAGATGGCTGGGGATTGGGGTGGGCACACACAAGTGGGCAGAGCCGGGACTGGCACTGCTGGGTGCCCTGCACAGCCTCGTGTGCCACCTCTCCCTGCCCTCCCTGCTGGGCACCCTCGCCCAGCCCCTGGCGCTCTTCTATGAGAAAAACAGGTCAGGATTCAGGGGGCTGGGGATTGGGTGGGCACACACAAGATGGCACTGCTGATTGCCATGCACAGCATCGTGTGCCACCTGTCCCTGCTGGGCACCCTCGCCACACCCCTGGCGCTCTTCTATGAGAAAAACAGGTCAGGATTGAGGGGGCTGGGGATTGGGGTGGGAAACACAAAAAATTGGGGTTGGGTGGGATGGGCACCACAACTCCTGTGGTATTCCCAGCAAGAGACGAGGATCTGACTCCTTGTTTTATAAAGCTGATTGATTATTTTATGATTTTTTTACATTAAAATTATACTAAAAGAAAAGAAGAAAGGATTTCATCAGAAAGCTTGAAAGGGAATGGAATGATAATAAAATCTTGTGACTGACCAGAGAGTCTGAGACAGCTGGGCTGTGATTGGCCATTAATTAAAAACCCCATGAGCCCAATCCCAGATGCAGCCATTGCATCCCACAGATAACCATTTAATTTACATTTAATTTCTGAGGTTTCTCAGCTTCCCAAGAGAAATAATCCTAACAAAAAGATTTTTCATAAAATACATCCCTGACCGTGGAGCTCAGGGTTTGCAGGGCTTGGAAAAAGCTCCATATTCCAAATTTTCATCTCTCCACTGTGACTCTCTCAGCATCTCTGCAAGGCTCAAAAGTTTGCTTTCCACACCCTGCAGTAAAAGATATTTATTGATAGAAATAAAGAAAATTTTTTCAGGAAAAAATTAAAATTTTACATTAAACTTTCTAGGAAATTTAATGATCATTTCTTGAGGTGCACCGAAATCCTGGAAGTTTTTAAGCAGAAAGAAACACTGGGAAAAAATTTGCTTGGTGCTTTTTCCTGAGCATTGTTTTCCCTGTATTTATTCATAAAAATGGAAAATTTTATTTTCTGAGCATCATTTTTTTTTTTAAAGATTTATTCCTGAAAAAGGAGAAGTTGAATAAATATTTTTGAAGAAAGACATGAGGAAGCAAATAAAAATTTGGGAACCTCATCAGCTTGGAGCTCTATAAGCTTCACAGGCTTATAAAACAAGTTAAAAAATGCGGTTTGCTCACATTTTTCTGGCTAAGTGCACCTCACCGAAGGATTTTTTGTACATGGAATTTATTTATTTATTTAGTTAGTTAGTTATTTATTTGGAATTGTTTAGTTTATGGAATTGCTTAGTGGTACTTTAATTTTTTAATGCCAACATTTCAGCTTTTCAATGCAAATGTGTTTAAGGAGAGCATTAGAGTGCTATAAAAAGTTAATTTTCAAGAAAAGTTTTAATTTTAAATTTGTACTGATTACCACTGACTTTTCCATTAATTCCTCCTGAAGTCACCATATCATGGAATTTAAAGGATGATCTCCATCAGGAAATGGTTAAATCCCCAAAATAATTTCACAAAATAATTCCATCCAGTTGCTCACTAAATCCAATGTGCAGTGCTGGGATTTGTTACATTTTTATGCTTGGGATAAATGAGACAGCAAAATAGAAATAAATTGGATTTTTTTTTGGCAGGCTCCCTGAGGTTCCCAAAGTGTACAGCAACCTGAACAGCAAGGTAAATCTGTGAAATCACTGCGGGCTGGGAGNTAATAATAATAATAATAATAATAATAGTAATAATAATAATTATATATCATATATCAATAAATCCAGTCTTCTATTTATATGTAGATCTAGTATGGAAATAATAATACTAATAATAATAATACTAATAATACTAATAATAATAATAATAATAATAATAATAATAATAATAATAATAATAATAATAATATAGTAGTAATCATGGTAGTAATAATAATAATTATTATTCCTACTATAATAATAACTATAATAATAATATTTATATATCGTATATCAATATATATATTGATATCAATACATCAATAAATATAATAATAGTATATAATGATATACTATATTATTAATATATAATAATATAATAATAAATAAATAATAGTATAGTAGTAATAATAGTAGTAATAGTAATAATAATAATAGTAGTAATAATAATAATTATGGTAGTAATAATAGGAACAATAATAATAACAGTAATAATAATATTAATAATTATATATCATATATTAATAAATCCAGCCTTCTGATCATGAACCAAGATTCTCGTCCTCTCACCCTGAAGACCTTCATCAGGTCGCTGTAATAGAAATCAGATAAAATGATGCATTAAAAATTGTGGTTGTTAAATCAAATGTTAAGCTATTTATGTGTAGGTGTAGTTTGGAAATTATAATAATAATAATAATAGTATAGTAGTAATAATAATAATTATAGTAGTAATAATAGTAATAATAATAATTATAATAATTATAATAATGTAGTAATAATAGTAGCAATAATTATAGTAGTAATAATAGTAATAATAATAGTAATAATAGCAATAATAATATTAATAATGATAGTAATAATAGTAATAATAATATTAATAATTATATGTCATATATCAATAAATCCAGCCTTCTGATCATGAACCAAGATTCTCATCCTCTCACCCTGAAGACCTTTCATCAGGTCGCTGTAATAGAAATCAGATAAAATGATGCATTAAAAATTGTGGTTAGGTTGTTAAATCAAATTTTAAACTATTTATATGTAGATCTAGTTTGGAAATTATAATAATAATAATAATAATAATAATAATAATAATAATAATAATAATAATAATAATAATAATAATAGTATAGTAGCAATAATAATAATTATAGTAGTAATAATAGTAATAATAATAATAATTGTAATAATTATAATAATTATTATATATCATATATCAATAAATCCAGCCTTCTGATCATGAACCAAGATTCTCATCCACTCACCCTGCAGACCTTCATCAGGTCCCTGTAATAAAAATCAGATAAAATGATGCATTAAAAATTGTGGTTAAGTTGTTAAATCAAATTTTAAACTATTTCTATGTAGATCTAATTTGGAAATTATAATAATAATAATAGTATAGTACTAATAATAATGATAACTATAGTAGTAATAATAGTAATAATAATGATAATAATAGTAATAATAATATTAATTTTTATATATCAATAAATCCAGCCTTCTGATCATGAACTAAAATTCTCGTCCTCTCACCCTGAAGACCTCATCAGGTCGCTGTAATAGAAATCAGATAAAATTACGCATTAAAAATTGTGGTTAAGTTGTTAAATCAAATTTTAAGCTATTTATATGTAGATCTAGTTTGGAAATAATAATAATAATAATAATAATAATAATAATAATAATAATAATAATAATAATAATAATAATAATAATAGTATAGTAGTAATAATAGTGACAATAATAAAAACAGTAATAATAATATTAATAATTATATATCGTATATCAATAAATCCAGCCTTCTGATAATGAACCAAGATTCTCATCCTCTCACCCTGAAGACCTTCATCAGGTCGCTGTAATAGAAATCAGATAANATTCCCAAATTCACACCATATTTAATTTGGGATATAAAATCCTTCATGCATAAAGTTCACTTTGGGAAAAAACACTGTGAAAAATACAAAAAAAATTGAATTTAAAAACCTGAAATGGAGAGGATTGCATCATTGCAACCTCCCTTGGATGCTGCTGTGTCCTGATAAATAAATAAGTGATAAATAAATAAATGATAAATCAATAAATGATAAATAAATAAATGATAAATACCACTTTTAAAAATCAGTAATTGCTAAACAAGACAAACAATTTAAAAGTTCAGTGGGAAGTTATATTGTGACTTCTTTTAGCTCACAATTGATTTTTGGTTTTCCTGATTGATTTCTGTTTCTGCTGATTGATTGATTTTTGTTTTTTCTGATTGATTTTTGTGTTTCTGATTGATTTCTGTTTCTGCTATTGATTGATTTTTGGTTTTTATCTGATTGATTTCTGTTTCTGCTGATGGATTTTTGTTTTTTCTGATTGATTTTTGGTTTTCCTGATTGATTTCTCTTTCTGCTGATTGATTGATTTTTGGTTTTTTTCTGATTGATTTCTGTTTTTCCTGATGGATTTCTGTTTCTGCTGATTGATTTTTATTTTTCTGATTGATTGATTTCTGTTTCTGCTGCTTGATTTTTGTTTTTTCTGCTGGTTTTCTGTTTCTGCTGATTGATTGATTTTTGTTTTTTCTGATTGATTTTTGTTTTTTCTGATTGATTTTTGTTTTTTCTGATTGATTTTTGGGTTTTTTTTGATTGATTTTTGTTTTTTCTGATGGATTTTTGTTTTTCCTGATTGATTTCTGTTTCTGCTGATTGATTGATTTTTGTTTTTTTCTGATGGATTTCTGTTTTCCCTGCTGCATTTCCATTTCTCCTGATTGATTTCTGTTTCTCCCTCAGGAGCTCCCCATGCTGGAGGGTCTCACCCACCTGGTCTCAGTCATGGTCGACTGCATCAACTTTGCCCCCTACGGCCCCAAATTCCAGCCCAAAACCAGATGTAAGGAAATTTTTGTAAATTCAATTTTGTGCCTTCAGAAGTTGGTTAAAAATCAGATTTTACCAGAAGACAAAAGGTCATTGTGTATAAAATATTCTTTGCTTTGTTTCCTTTTCCCACTTCTGGTGTTAAAGCTGAAGAAATAATTCCCAAAAAAGCAAAATTCAGTAAAAAAGGAGTTAAAATTTACCTGCCCCGTGGGAATTTGTTAAAGTGGAAAAATTCAGTGTTGGGGCTGCTGAAGGAATGAAATGCTTTAATTGGAAATTTTGATGAGG